AAAGACAAGGAAAACATTAGTTTGTCCATCAAGATTAAGGAAACAAAAGAAAACAATAGATTTTAAAAAAAAAAGGTGTGAAGTCAATCAGTAACACCCCTGTGTGGGTTCCAGGGCCCTATTATACAGAAAACAAGAATAGACCCACTGCCTACCCAAAAGCATGTCGTAAGAGTCGACTAATTGGGACCTTCCTTCAAAGTCGGAGTGCATCTGCCTGAGAGGCAAGGAACCAACAGTCTGCACACAAATGCGTCAGATCTGTCACACGGATGCACACGAAACACTCAGGTTCTGCAACAGGACTGCAGTCCAGAAGTGGATGAACCACCAGAACTTTCCGCCAGAGTTTTACAGCTGGTGAACGTGAAGAAGAAAGAAGAAGAATCAGTAACATCACTGTGACCAGACATCAACTCCCACCGCGGCTACATACCCAGTGTCCTGGTATCTAACAAATCTGACAAAAGTATGTACAAAAGTGTCAGAGGTTTCAGCTCAATACTCAATCTCTTGACAAGACTATCTGGCATTGGTTTAACCACCTTATCTGTTACGCCGCTGATCACAGCCTTGTCTGTACAAGAATTATGACATATTACTATAATACTAGAAACAATTCACTCATAGCAAACCGCATCAAATATTGACCATAAATATAAATAACACTAAAACTAACAACAACAACAACACAATAACCAGAACATGGGGATGCTAAACATGAAGACATGCAGATGACTGGAAGACACCTTGGCCAATGAAGTGAGTCAATGTTGTTGTGTCTTCTATATTATATGTCCCACATGAACCAAGTGGGAACAGAGACAAATGGATGAACCAAGTGGGAACAGAGACAAATGGATGAGCCTCATGGGAATAGAGACGTGGATAAACCTAATAGGAACAGATGCAAACGGATAAAAAATATGGGACTGAGACAGATAGATGAACCTGATAGGAAGACAGGCACATGGATGACAAACATGGAACTGACACAAATGGATGACAAACATGGAACTGACACAAATGGATGACAAACATGGAACTGACACAAATGGATGACAAACATGGAACTGACACAAATGGATGCACCTGATAGGCACATAGGCAAATGGATGAAAAATATGGGAAGAGAGAGAAAAATGGATAAACCTCATGGGAACTAAGACAGATGGATTAATCTCATAGGAACTGAGACAAATGGATGAATCTCATAGGAACTGAGACGAATAGATGAATCTCATAGGAATTGAGACGAATGGATGAATCTCAAAGGAACTGAGACGAATGAATGAATCTCAGTGGAACTGAGACAAATGGATGAATCTCAGTGGAACTGAAACAAATGGATGAATCTCAGTGGAACTGAGACAAATGGATGAATCTCAGTGAAACTGAGACAAATGGATGAATCTCAGTGGAACTGAGACAAATGGATGAATCTCAGGGGAACAAATGGGTAAACCACAACCATGACTGTGAAAGGCAGCCTCTTACCAGAAACATTTCTGGCTGCCACTACAGTTACCCCACCTACTACAGTTACCCCACCCACTACAGTTACCCCACCCACTACAGTTACCCCACCTACTACAGTTACCCCACCCACTACAGTTACCCCACCCACTACAGTTACCCCACCCACTACAGTTACCCCACCCACCACAGTTACCCCACCCACCACAGTTACCCCACCCACTACAGTTACCCCACCCACCACAGTTACCCCACCCACTACAGTTACTCCAACTATACTAAGAATAGTTCTAAAGACTACAGGTAAGATAGTAATGTATAAGAATTAAAGTCAACAATAAATACTAGTCAGATATAACATATGTGAAGACTGTCCCAACAAAAGAATTAAATGAACTAAAATATATGCAGAAAATGTCATAGCATTTGATGATGTTTCATGACTGCGAACAATGTCATAAATAACTTGAAGTCAAAGTAGTGGTATCCAGGCAGAGTTTCATAACCACGGCTGACTTGTCATTGGTGGGAAGGATACAGAAAGGTACTACAGAATAAAGTAGCTGGAATATAGGATGATTCACACACGATGCTAGTTGATCCTCAACCTTCATTCACTTGTTCTGAAAATTTTTTTTACAAAATAAAAGTTAAAAAAAAAACATTGTTTTGTATCAGTATTCAAAGGCCAATCACACAGACACGTTAAAACATAGACCAGTTGAACATAATCACAATTTAGAGGCCTCTTATCCTCAGAATGGCAGCAGTATAATGATACTCAGTATCTTGTTAAAAATTTTTGTAATACACTAGCAACATGTAGCTCTGAGTTTCCAAAACAAAATCTGTCAACCTTTGACATGAGCAACCTGAATCTCTAAAGTGGCCCGCTAGCATCAGCAGTGACCATTTCCTGTGTTTACTTTGTGGCTTACAACCTGTGTTTACTATGTGGCTTAATACCTGTGTTTACTATATGGTTTACCACCTGTGTTTACCATGTGGCTTACCACCTGTGTTTACTATGTGGCTTACAACCTGTGTTTACTATGTGGCTTAATACCTGTGTTTACTATGTGGCTTACAACCTGTGTTTACTATGTGGCTTACTACCTGTGTTTACTATGTGGCTTAATACCTGTGTTTACTATATGGTTTACCACCTGTGTTTACTATGTGGCTTAATACCTGTGTTTACTATGTGGCTTAATACCTGTGTTTACTATATGGCTTACCACCTGTGTTTACTATGTGGCTTATCACCTGTGTTTACTATGTGGCTTACCACCTGTGTTTACTATGTAGCTTACCACCTGTGTTTACTATGTGGCTTAATACCTGTCTTTACTTTATGGCTTACCACCTGTGTTTACTATGTGGCTTACCACCTGTGTTTACTATGTGGCTTACAACCTGTGTTTACTATGTGGCTTACTACCTGTGTTTACTATGTGGCATAATACCTGTGTTTACTATGTGGCTTAATACCTGTGTTTACTATGTGGCTTACAACCTGTGTTTACTATATGGTTTACCACCTGTGTTTACTATGTGGCTGAATACCTGTGTTTACTATATGGTTTACCACCTGTGTTTACTATATAGTTTACCACCTGTGTTTACTATGTGGCTTACTAACTGTGTTTACTATGTGGCTTAATACCTGTGTTTACTATGTGGCTTACCACCTGTGTTTACTATGTGGCTTAATACCTGTGTTTACTATATGGCTTACCACCTGTGTTTACTATATGGTTTACCACCTGTGTTTACTATGTAGCTTAATACCCGTGTTTACTATGTGGCTTAATACCTGTGTTTACTGTGTGGCTTACAACCTGTGTTTACTATGTGGCTTACTACCTGTGTTTACTATGTGGCTTAATACCTGTGTTTACTATATGGTTTACCACCTGTGTTTACTATGTGGCTTAATACCTGTGTTTACTATGTGGCTCAATACCTGTGTTTACTTTATGGCTTACCACCTGTGTTTACTATATGGCTTACCACCTGTGTTTACTACGTGGTTTACTACCTGTGTTTACTATGTGGCTTAATACCTGTGTTTACTATGTGGCTTAATACCTGTGTTTACTATGTGGCTTAACACCTGTGTTTACTATGTGGCTTAACACCTGTGTTTACTATGTGGCTTAACACCTGTGTTTACTATGTGGCTTAACACCTGTGTTTACTATGTGGCTTAATACCTGTGTTGCCATAACACTGGACACAACAAGTGTCAACCATCTCTCTGCTACCATAGATCCTGATGTATGTATACGCCACAGACCCTCTGGTTAAACCCAGGTGACTCATTCTCTCCAGGCCATAATAATCTCATGACATCTCTAGACCACTAGCGTATAAAACAAACATTTTCATGATGACATCGTGCCCAAGTCTAAGCCTCGACTTCACCTACAGCACTGTGTACTGATGCCCTTCACCTACAGCACTGTGTACTGATGTCCTTCACCCACAGCACTGTATACTGATGCCCTTCACCTACAGCCCTGTGTACTGATGTCCTTCACCCACAGCACTGTGTACTGATGCACTTCACCCACAGCACTGTGTACTGATGCACTTCACCTACAGCACTGTGTACTGATGCACTTCACCCACAGCACTGTATACTGATGCCCTTCACCTACAGCACTGTATACTGATGCCCTTCACCTACAGCACTGTATACTGATGCCCTTCACCTACAGCACTGTATACTGATGCCCTTCACCTACAGCACTGTGTACTGATGCACTTCACCCACAGCACTGTATACTGATGCACTTCACCCACAGCACTGTATACTGATGCCCTTCACCTACAGCACTGTGTACTGATGCACTTCACCCACAGCACTGTATACTGATGCCCTTCACCCACAGCACTGTATACTGATGCACTTCACCTACAGCACTGTGTACTGATGCACTTCACCCACAGCACTGTGTACTGATGCACTTCACCCACAGCACTGTGTACTGATGCACTTCACCCATAGCACTGTGTACTGATGCCTTTCACCCATAGCACTGTGTACTGATGCCCTTCACCTACAGCACTGTGTACTGATGTCCTTCACCCACAGCACTGTGTACTGATGCACTTCACCCACAGCACTGTGTACTGATGCACTTCACCTACAGCACTGTGTACTGATGCCCTTCACCTACAGCACTGTATACTGATGCCCTTCACCCACAGCACTGTATACTGATGCCCTTCACCTACAGCACTGTATACTGATGCCCTTCACCTACAGCACTGTGTACTGATGCACTTCACCCACAGCACTGTATACTGATGCACTTCACCCACAGCACTGTGTACTGATGCCCTTCACCCACAGCACTGTGTACTGATGCCCTTCACCCATAGCACTGTGTACTGATGCCCTTCACCCACAGCACTGTGTACTGATGCACTTCACCCACAGCACTGTATACTGATGGAAAGTATAATCAGATGATAAACTAAACCACAGCAAATGATCACACTGATAAGTCTCTCACCAATAATGTTGAGCTTGCACAATGGACAGGTTCTGTTGCGTACCAGCCAGGGATCCACACAGCGTGTATGATAGGGATGAGCACATGGCAAAATTCGCAGTTTCTGTAGGGAGAGGAGAGGAGAGCAATCACAACAGTTTCCTTGTAGGGGAATATGTTTGTTTCTAAATAGTTTCCACACAAAAAACTGTGGCCACAAAGTTTTATCATGGAAAAAAAAAGCTGTGTATGTAATGAGATGCATACGAGGTGTTCCTTCTTTCAGTCTCTCAAGATAATATTTCTGGAGCCCTTCTGACAAATCTGCTTGGCTAAGGGTAGGAATGGGCTCTGTGGTTGGCTAACTCATCCTATTAAAAAAAAAAAAAAAAAACAATAGCTACAAAAACCAACAAACCATGGAAAAGTCAAAAAAAGAGAAACAAGTAATGCACAACCTAGACAACATAGACAAATTCACTTCATTATTTGTGTGGGTCTTCCTGACATTCACAGGACTTTGTTGGTTCCAGTGTAAGAACATTTGAAAACATCAGGTTTTCTCATTGTCTGATCTATCCAGCACTAGCCTCTGTTCTATTCAGCACAAGCCTCTGTTCTATTCAGCATTAGCCTCTGTTCTATTCAGCATTAGCCTCTGTTCTATTCAGTACTAGCACTTGTTCTACTCAGCACTAGCACTTGTTCTATCCAGCACTAGCACTTGTTCTACTCAGTACTAGCACTTGTTCTACTCAGCACTAGCACTTGTTCTATCCAGCACTAGCACTTGCTCTACTCAGTACAAGCACTTGTTCTATCCAGCACTAGCACTTGTTCTACTCAGTACTAGCACTTGTTCTACTCAGCACTAGCACTTGTTCTATCCAGCACTAGCACTTGTTCTACTCAGTACTAGCACTTGTTCTACTCAGCACTAGCACTTGTTCTATCCAGCACTAGCACTTGTTCTATCTGTAACTTGCCTCTGTTCTATTTAGCACTAGCACTTGTTCTATCTGGCACTAGCACTTGTTCTATCTGGCACTAGCACTTATTCTATCTGGCACTAGCACTTGTTCTATCTGGCACTAGCACTTTTTCAAACTGGCATTATCACTTGTTCTATCTGGCACTAGCCCCTGTTCTATCTGTCACTAGCCTTTGTTCTATCTGGCACTAGCACTTGTTCTATCTGGCACTAGCCCTGATCTATCTGGCACTAGCCTTTGTTCTAACTGGCAGTAGCCTCTGTTCTATCTGGCAATAGCCCATGTTCTATCTGGCACTAGCCCCTGTTCTATCTGGCACTAGCCCCTGTTCTATCTGGCACTAGCACGTGTTCTATCTGGCACTAGCCCCTGTTCTATCTGGCACTATCCTCTGTTCTATCTGGCACTAGCCTCTGTTCTACCCAGCACTATTATCTGTTCTATTCAGCACTATTATCTGTTCTATTCAGCATTAGCACTTGTTCTATCCAGCACAGGCGTCTGTTCTATCCAGCACTATTATCTATTCATCTCTTGAACAAATGAAATTTGTTACTTCTTCTGTGTTTTATCCCTTAACTTGTGCCAATTTATCCTACACTTCATCATCACATGAAACTCACTCCATGTTCTACTCACTTTTTGGTCAAACTTCCCCTCCCCCCACAACACTACTATAGTATATCTTGTATAACATGCCTAGTAGGGCAGTGTTAGTATTCCTTGCTTTCCCTAAGGGCTCAGTAAAACACACAAACAAGGCATTTATTGAGTTGAACAATACTGACATCAAAAAGGCAAAAACATGCAGCCTTTGGTAGTAAAATATAAGAATATAGCTTTACCTGTTTATGCAGAAACTCCTCTAGACATATTGCACAGGTATCAAGGAGAGTAACTTCCCCTTTCTTTTTGTAGCGCATTGTCTTCATAAGAGACAACGCTTGATGAGCAGTCTTTCTCATAGTAGACTGAAATCAGAAATAAATACTTTAAAATTGTTGTGCCGTGATACGTAGGGTTGTCACAAAATTCAATGATAGTTATTATCATACTGTCAACTTTACAATAACCTTTTCATCACACCTTCAGACCTCACTAGGAGGGGTTCATGGATATTAAAGTGCTTCATCGTACGATGTCCATCTGTTATTTTCAAGCAGACAAGATCACATGGACTCTAACATGAAGAATCATAGACTCTAACATGAAGAATCATGGACTCTAACATGAAGAATCATGGACTCTAACATGAAGAATCATGGACTCTAACATGAAGAATCATGGACTCTAACATGAAGAATCACAAGATGGCATATTCCTCTAAGATCCAAAAGAAAGTGAACAAAAAATCTGACTTTCTCAGATAATGACCCTTCCATGCACACATACAAACACACACACAATAAAGGTTTTGAAGGGTTTGAATAGTTCTGAGTGGCTTGGCTAGGTGGCATGTAATGTAGCATGTTAGCTGCCATGAATTTCTACTGTACTGTTGATATCTTCTTCTGTGTTCATCCAAAAATAAAATTGTGTTGTGTTAATTTACAGCATGGCTGTGATATTTGCACCTTTCCGCCAACACATCTGACCTCTGCCGGCATTTGTTGACCTGGTTAGCCTTGCGGGTTAGTTTCAAGGGACTTTGCAGTCTCATTATTGTGTGGTCATCTTTGTTTACCAGGTCACAGGTGGTGCCCCACATCAGGCTGGTCCAGAGAAGTCACGTAATGCTGATCAAGAGAAGGCAGTGGCAGAGCATTTCCCGCCATCCAAGGAGGCTTCCATAAACACAGAGCCAATGCATGGTGCTCTCGTACTGGGCTCACCCAATGAATCATCACATCCTGCTTATGACTGTTTAACCTCACTTCTATATATTGAACATCTCATTCATCATAAGCTATGTATTTAGTAGCCAAACAGTAGGCAGCCTGCAGACCTGGGATTTCATTTACCTACACAAAATGAGTACTTGGCTTTTTTTGCATGTTAGACTTTTAGTGCAGGACTTCCTCATCCGGTAGATGCCTACAGGCATCCATTGAGGCAGTTTATGGACAAATAAGTTTGTTTCATTTTCTTACCATGTCATGGTTTTTTTAAAAACTCTGCAT